TATCTGTGAACACTAGATCAAGTAGTGATGGCTCATCCCCACCCCTGGCCCTTGTTGGTTCCATTACATGTTGGTGTAGGAAATTCCCTTGTACGCAATCTAGGAATCTTGCCCCGAATGAGTCCTCACCACTGTGTGGGTCAAGATTTATCCAATCTATCTCTTTATGATTAAAGTCTCCCATAATCAAAATCCTACATTTTTTCCCGTGCCATGTTAACAACTGAGTTTATGACTTCAATAGTACCTATATGACTTTCCTCATAAACTTCAAGCCTATTTTGGTTCCTTGGTGGGTTGTATACAACAGTTATTATAATGCTCTCTGACCCAGTATTTATGCGAGCAACAAGAAATTCCTTGAACTCACTTTCTATAGCCAAGTTTATTTCTTCAACTTGAATCCTTTCACTTATGAGCAGGGCTATCCCTCCACCAGTCCTCTCAGATCTTTCAACCCTTAGTATTCTGAAGCCCTTAGGAAAAACTGTGACACTGTTGATGTCCTCACTCAACTTAGTCTCTGTAATTGCTACTATATCTGCCTTACTGTTGTGAATCCTATCTTTTAATTCTACTGCCTTACCAGCTAATCCATCAGCATTTGTGCATAACAATCTTAATGAGGCCCCATCCCCTGATCTTCTGTCATTATCTTCTTTATCTCCCCTTTGTCTGGAAGAACTCTGTAACGAAAATTTTTCTTCTCTTCTTCATTTCTTTCCTCATTTAACCTTCTTGCCTCTTGCAACAAGTTTTTTATCTTTCCCAACTCTTCCTGTGTTCTGTATCGTCTAATGAACACTTCTTTGAATTCTTGAAGGTCTTTTAGACTTTTTTTTCTCAACAATATTTCCCTACATGTTTCCCCTCTCTCAAAGGTTACTTTTGTTGGTCTCGGCTTTCCTTCCCTCGAATATTTACCTAGTTGGTGTATGCTTACAATATCCTCAGGACCAAAAACTACTCCAAGCTTTCTTATCAGGTCTACAACCCTAGCTTTATTTTCTTCAAATCTCCCCTGCCATGTTGGCTCCTGGGATTCGCTTATGCCTGAGATTACCACTGTCTTCTCCTTATCAAGTGCCTGTCTGATGAGTGGGTTTGCCCTTTCCATCACAACATCTTTCATTTTTTCAATTACTGTCTCTTTATAGTCAAGTGTTTGTATGTTTTCCAGTGCCACCACCTTTACAGCCTCTTTTACTGCCACATTCCCCTTTAGCGCATCAGCAAAGGAAGTTTTCATGGCATCATTTTCCATATTCAGCTCCTGGAACTCTTTTCTGAACTGTTCAATGTTTTCCTTAATCTGGACATTCCAAGCAGCAATCTCGTCTCTCTCAGAAGAGAGCAGTGAACTAACATCTAATTCCTTTAGGTTGTCATTCAGCTGTTTGTTTTTATCTTCTTGTTTAGAAATTCTAGATTCTAGTTGACTCTTTTCCCCTTCCAGCTTCTTTATTCTTTTTTCTAGTTCCTTTCTCTCCTGCCCTTGTGCTTTATTTGCTTCCTCCAAAGATCTTATTTGCTCTCTGAGTGTTTCATTCTCTTTCATTTCTCTATCCATATTCCGAATTTTATCATCAAGGCTTATAACCATTGCCTCTAAATTCTTGATTTTCTGTTTAAGTCTCCTAATGGCTACCCCTCCTACCGACCCATGGATGGGAGAGGTTTGGGACAGAGATGGCGTCATTTTTATGTTCTCCCTCTCACAGAATATAGAAAGAAGACGAGAAAGAGGAAAAAAAAAAGAGAAAAACTTTTAATTAAGCTTCACACAGAATTTTTATATCTCCATATAAGTGATATTTAGTGACTCAGTTTATCTCTTTTCTGGTAACACACATCTTAACTTAAAAACTTGACCATGGTAATTTAAGGATAAAAAGAAAAAGAAAAGCAAAAGTCAAACCTGAAGGAAAATTCGAATTTGCGTCTGAGGTGGCACCCACCTGTTTCTGCTATATATTTTTCCTAACTGATAAACTCACTTGCTAACCAAGATATGTTATCACAGGATTAGACTTTACATTCAACTCAATATATATACAAAATAATAAAAAATAGTAAAAGAGAAAGCTAAAAGAAAAGCAAAAAAAAAAATGAAGAAAATAAGACAGCTGTACTACTTGGCAACTTAACTCAGTACTGTTGACAGGTGGATATTTGGTATTTTTTTTTTTTATTATTCACCTCTGGCAACTCTTCTAAATTTCCTTCAAGGCAGAACTGGACGGCAGCTTCTCTCTCCCCTCACGAAAATGTTCTCAATTTTTTTCCTTTAATATTTTGGACAGTCTCGTCATACAACAAATATAAGTTTTGTACTCACAGTACTCTGCAGGATTTCAGATTTATGGAAATTATGGTAAAGTTTTCCACTAAGCACTTAGTCATTTCCACTAAGCACTTAGTGATTACCTAATTGTGTTTACGGGAAAGAGCTCAAAGCTCGTATCTTCCCGTGTCCTCATCGGTTCCATTTTATACTTAGTCATACTTATCATACCTGTCCTTAAAACTATGGATTGAGATAGCATTAACTACCTCCTCGCTTAGCCAATTCCAATTATCAACTACTCTTACACTGGAAAAGTATTTCCTTACATCCTGCAAAGAAGTTTTCTTACGAAGCTTCAAACTGTGACCTCTAGTTCTAGAGCCAGCCATATCAAAATATCGATCCCTATCCACTCTATCATAACCATGAAGGAATTTAAAGACTGTCACCATATCCCCCCTCACTCTTCTAGCTTCGAGTGATGGTAAGTCTAATTCCCTCAGCCTCTCATCATAACTGAGATTGCGTATTTCTGGCACCAGTTTCGTGGCATGTCTTTGAACTTTTTCAAGCTTAGTTATGTGCTTTTTCAAGTGCGGATTCCAAAAGGGGGGCTGCATATTCGAGTTTTGGCCTCACATAGGTTACATAAATATTTCTGAACATTTCCTTGTCCATGTGCCTGAAGGCTAACAATTATGTGATTCGTCATCTCCCACCCTTTCATCCAATAGCATTCCATGAACTATCTCACTTTGGTGCGAGCCTTTGCGTTTTCCAAGACGCCAATACATTGTATGCTATCAGACAGTATTTCACATGGTGCAATACTGTGAGTTATATGCTTAAATTTATGTTTTTTACTAATTTTTACTGTTTTTTATTCTTAGGCTAGGAAATACTTGTTTAATCAATAAAAATATGAAAGTTTCAATATGTACTAGCTCACGTAGGTGCGACCCTTTTCATTTTCCGAAACGCTCACCCCGGTATCGTATTTTACATGGTGCAATACTGTTAGTATTTATGTTTTTTTACTATTTGTTACTGTTTTATTATTCTTAGGCTAAGAAATACGTTTTTTATCAATAAAATCATGAAACTACTGGAAATTTTAATATATGATAGCTCACGTAGTTGCAACCCTTTGCGTTTTCCGAAATGCTGATACCGGTATCGTACTTTCTGTGGTGCAGAGTTACATGTTCAAATTTGTTTTTTTACTATTTCTTACTGTTTTATTATTCTTAGGCTGGGAAATAAATTTTTTTTCTCGATAAAATAATGATTTTTTTTCTCAGTAAAATAATGATAATACTGAAAATTTTTATTCCTTAAAACTTCAATATTTTCGCATATACCCAGAAAAAAAAATCGCCAAAAAAAACGCATTACAGTGAATCCGCAATAGGTGAACCGCGCGATATAGCGAGGGATTACTGTACATCCTGCTGTAAGAAGAGAGCTTGCTTGACTACGGAAGAAAGAGAAGAGAAGGAGAGACCAGAAAATCAAGGCGTTAATATCCATTACGACAATCAGCGTCGCATATTATTACGAGATGGTGAAATTATTGACAGGTATGCTCCTTCGTATTTTGAAGATGTGCACAAATAGCGTATTTCCCAGTGAGCTCAATATGTGTTGTTGGAATATGGCAGGTGTCAAGGACAAATTGAACAATTCTGATATTTTATCATTTATTCTCAGGTTTCATATTGTGTGGCTTTTAGAAATAAAAACTACTGCTCGTTTTAGTGTACCAGGATTTTACACTTATCATAAACCCTCTAGATACTGAAAATGTAAGGTAATGAGAATGGGTACAAGTGCAAGAAGGCCCAAGCTTGACTACTCGGTGGCTGGAGTACAACTTCAAGAGACAGAAAATGAGAGAGATCTAGGAGTAAACATACTGGCAGATTTGTCTCCAGAAATACATATAAATGGCATAGTAAGGGCAGCATATGCATTCTTATCAAATGTAAGGGTAGCCTTCAGGCACATGGACAAGGAAATGTTCAGAAATATTTATGTAACCTATGTGAGGCCCAAACTGGAATATGCAGCCCCCTTTTGGAATCCGCACTTGAAAAAGCACATAGCTAAGCTTGAAAAAGTTCAAAGACATGCCACGAAACTGGTGCCAGAAATACGCAATCTCAGTTATGATGAGAGGCTGAGGGAATTAGACAGTCTTTAAATTCCTTCATGGTTATGATAGAGTGGATAGGGATCGATATTTTGATATGGCTGGCTCTAGAACTAGAGGTCATAGTTTGAAGCTTGGTTAGAAAACTTCTTTGCAGGATGTGAGGAAATACTTTTTCAGTGTAAGAGTAGTTGATAATTGGAATTCGCTAAGCGAGGAGGTAGTTAATGCTATCTCAATCCATAGTTATAAGGACAGGTATGATAAGTATGACTAAGTATAAAATGGAACCGATGAGGAGACGGGAAGATACGAGCTTTGGGCTCTTTCCCGTAAACACAATTAGGTAATCACACACACACACACACACACACACACACACACACACACACACACACACACACACACACACTCATACATACATACATACATACATACATACATACATACATACATACATACATACATACATATATATATATATATATATATATATATATATATATATATATATATATATATATATATATATATATATATATATATATATATGAATAATTTTTACCCTACCTGGGACTTGAACCTGGGACTTGTACTTACTAAGCTAAAGTGCTACCAACTACACCACAGGTCTTAACTCCCGGTCGGGGTAAAAACGATTCATGTTTTCATATATATATATATATATATATATATATATATATGACGTAAAGGTTTTGTTATTATCCCACCGAGCGTCACCACTGTCGTATTGGTTTTATTTATCCCATCTAATGACACCACTGACGTAGGGCTTTTCCTCCTACGTATATAAACTTATAATTATGGTAGCGTGGTTTATTAGGTTATAAATATTAGTACCTGATGGGTACAAGGTAAGAATGGACAAGCAGTAGTTCCTTTACTTATATTTATTCTAGAGTACAACACATCCGACGCCTCAATGCCCCAATGCCCCCACCCTATGACTATCACAATCTATGATCTATTCGTGCCCCTGGCAAGGTTCTAACTAACTGTCCCTGCCCTGGGTGGCTCTTTAAATACCCCCAGGGGCAGGGCGTGGCTTAACATCCAATTCTCCAATGAAATCAGTCAGATCTAGTCCTAGCTAATCAACGCCAGGTTCAAAGTGGAATCCCACCTACTTCCGGGGAGGAGTTATTGGGCATCTCTCCTGGGCGTGTACCTGCGTACGAAACACCTGTTTATATTTCTTGAGGTTTAGGAAATGGCTAACTTCCTGTCCTTTCCTGCCCTTCTCGATGCCAGATCCTAAGTCTCACGGTTCCGGTCATATATTTCCTTGGCACTTTCTACAAACATTGTAATAAAATATCCGTGCCCTCGACCAACCGTTTCCGCTCAAGATCTGTTACAAGTTTCAGATTCTGGCTTCAGCATGACGGAAGTCATACGACATCCCTCCCAACCAAAACTGAAATATCTCTTATTTCAGTCGAAGCATGGGCTAATTTTCCGGGAGCTCTTGGACATATCCTAGCTAACATTAGTTTACAATAGAAATGGGGCCGAATTATTTAAGCTATGTTCTAAGAATTCCTATACAAATTACACAAACATAACATATAGAGAGTACCTTTACAGACAACTAGAGCATGCAGGGTCTATGTCCTTGTTGGAAATCTGAAATACAAACATATTCTTATATCTAAAAACAACATAATTCCAGTGTGAAACTAATATTAAACATTAATTAAGATCAAAAAGTCAGTTTAAATCAAAACATTAATTCATCTACTTCTCTCGTTTCTTTAAAAGACAAAATTGAGTTAATTACAGTAGGATTATGACTCATTTAGAACATTAGCAAACAATTAAGTAGAGTATTAGCATGTATAAACATGTAGAATGCAATAGACTATAACATCAACAGTAATTTCTATAAGAGACCTTACCTTCATAAGTTCTATTCCTATCATTATTAGGGGCATTGATTTGTCTTAAAATTAAGCCTTAAAAACTACTCCTGGAACAAAGCATGTGTTACTTTCATATTATATTACTATTCAGAGACCACTTAACATAAAAACTTAATGAATCTAAAGATTAAATCATAATTCAAATAATAATAATGCTAAAACAAAACACTAATATTATTTAAGCAGAAAATAACTTATTAATCTTAGTTCACATCATACACTTTATCAATGGCACTTACTCAACACTATATTTAAGGGAGACTCTGAGTTTGCGCTTAAAATTATCTTAAAGCTAGCAAAGCAAAAAAATAAACATAAAAATAAAAATATTTTGTCTCCTTTTTTTAGCACAAAAGACGGTGGGGACATTTTCTTTCCCATTTTTTTTCCGTTCTAATAGGGAGGTAATTTTAATTAACCAATAAGGGATTTTTTTTTTTTTTTTTCCTTTTAAATACCCTTCTTTCTCTTTTCACTAAAGTTCGGACATGTATAGGGATCATTTTTCTTTCTCATTTACGTGGCTTTTAAAGGTATTATTAAAATATTTTAAAATATTTCTGCGTTTCTTTTCCTCTCTTTTTACTACCGTTATGACACGTAGGGGGATCTCCTTGTTTCTGGGATTTCATCAAGATTACCTGGGTTTTTAAAGTAGTTTAAAATTTTTATTCTTTTAGGACTGTCCTCCCTGTCCAGGACGACTTTCGTTTTCTCTGTCTAGGACGACTTTCGTTTTCTCTGTCCCTTGCTCATGAATTCTTGCTAGGTGCGATTCCCCGGTTTCCCTCGGGGATTCTTTCGCTTTCACTCCCCCGCCGTCCTCGCTGCAGGCCCAGGTTTGTTGCCATATCTCCGTTACTCGGTTAGGCAAAGCAAAAAGGACAAGGACTGGGCCCCATCCCGCGAATCCTTCCAGCCCGGCTTCCTCGTCCCGCCCTCGGCCGATCTTGACTAAGACCACCACGCAGGAGACCTGCAACGTCACAGCGTTACTCTTCCTGTACGGTCCTCTCACACGTACCTTCGAAGTAGATCGCAGGATGAAAGTTTGAACCTATGTCACTACTACAGTTGTAAGAAAGGTTCCCTATGACTTCAGGGTACCAACAATGGCCATACGTTGGTAATCGAGGCTATACTTTGCCTCCCCTGCAACTGCAAGTGATTGCAATCTCTATTCAATGGGCATTAGGGACTTGTCTGACGGACAAAATCTAAAGACCTTTTAGAACTTGCAGGTCGGGGCTGCCTAGGAATAGGGTGGTAATGGAAGGTATGTGTCTACACAACTAGATTATTATTCCAAGATACTTAGGACTTAGCAACTGCTACATAGCATTACTCTACTATAAATGTCAAAAAGAACAATCATTAAATGCTGAGAAAAGCCACTAAAGAAACATTCTTATTAGCGGTGGCTACAGTAACATCAAGTATGAATTCAGATAAAAGATACAAATCATCAAGTTACTGCTGATTTCATTTCACAACTAATAATTAGCAACAGGCCATTGAGAGATAGCAACAATATCAGTCAACATATTAACATTACTAATAATCACGATCTAAAAATAAGAATAATAAACAATAAAAATAAATATACTAAATCAAAAATATCAATATATATACAGTGGAGACTGGCATTCAGAAGTAAGAACAGAGTTCTATACTTATATTTCATAGTGATGCTTATTCTAACACAGTCTCCTTTAATATTCAAATTCCTGCTGTCATAATCAATGTATATATATATATAGCATAAGTGGCAACTTGCTGGCTCCACAATTTGTCAATGGGAGTTCTATCTATCCTCTAAACAGTTGCGACATGTGGCAAAAATATTTATGCAATAACAGCATGCAACAATCTATTGACTGCAATAAAATGTAGGCACAATTATCGCCTAGCTTCGCTGGAAAAAAACACAAAAAAAACTCAAAGACAGCAACGTTCTTTTAGCATTGAACGGAGCCTCTGTCAGGCTCAGAGTCGAGTGAAAGGTAGGAGAGAGAGAGAGAGAGAGAGAGAGAGAGAGAGAGAGAGAGAGAGAGAGAGAGAGAGAGACTGGGCGACCTTGAAATACGTCATGGCCTCCAGTCTGTGTCAGCTGAGACGGGCCTCTTCCTTTTAACTGGTACTGAAAATAAAAAAGTGTCGCAGAGTATCTCTAATAATAAAATAAATAAACAAATGAACGTGAACAAACGTTAGCAATGACTATCGATAGAGTCTTACGTTTATTGTCAGAGGGCTATTCTTATTTCCTCATTAACAAAACAAAAGCAAAAAGAACTTAGTGTACAACTGCAGAACTGTCGAAGCATAAATCCATTCCTTTCTGTTTAATCCTGATAAGGACTCCACTGTAACAGCATACACATCCTTGTCTATAATGACAATCTCTCTCTTTTCATGCTATAAATCAGAGGGTTAAGTCGAAGCACACACACTGATGAAATTAAAGCAAAAAAACTAAAATCATATGTGACGGTATCCCTACTACTATCAACAAAAGTACAAATATCCTTTTCTTAATAACTTCTTAAAAAGGACTTAAGTGTCATTAATTTTAACTTTAAAACTCAGCAAATAATCTCTAATAATCTCAATTATCTTTAATTAGCCCGATTGTAATCTAAAATTCATGAAAATGCTAGGGATTAACCATGGTTCTCTCTAGATAATCTTTTCAGAATCCTTTAAGTAAGATTTTAAAGATTTCTTCAATACAAAAAGAACTATAACAAAAACGGGTATCTAAGAATATAAAAAGTCTATCTCTGTGTATGCAATAATAAAAACAAAAAGTATATTTCATTATCAACAGTAAGGAATGCATTTTGCTTAAACTTCAAAATCTCGTACGGAGTTGTACATAAACAATTCAAACATAAAATATATATTTTCTTTTACTATCTCGAATTTGACTTATATCTGCTCTCTCAAATACGGGATACAGCTGTGTAACATTCTTGTTGTCATTTCGTGTCAGCTCTCACTCTATGACCAAGCCGAAATAATTTTGATAAAACATTATCATGGCTAAAACTCGCAAAGTTTTACTTTATCAATCTAACATATCTCTTCAGACAAATAATGTATGTACTGCAGCTAGCAAAGAAAATAAAGAATCATTCATAGATTCACGTCCTTTATCACGTAACATCTATCTTGGAATCTCTCGGAAATCGAATAATAATCTCAATGGCGGAGTAGGGGACAAAACAAAAATAAAACAAACTCGGCATTTCAACCATATCTGGGCAGGTGGAGAATTACCTTCTCATCCATATCCCTCACTAGATATTGCAACAGCGCATCACCTCCCATAAATACACTCTGATATGGCATGCAGAAGGACCTGGCGGAGCAGGGGAACGATCCTCGCAGACTCCCCAATCATGCTTCCTAACGGTGCTTTTCCGCGATTTCACCCCCTAGAGCAACCCCCCCATTATACCCCCAGTCATTCACACTCATTCGCTATATCACTTTCAAGACAATCATCCCCTTTCTGTAAAATTCCCTTTTATTTACAACGCGTTGGTTTTCCTTTCCCTTATCTCTCTGAAGGAGATTAAAGGTGAAATCTCGGCTGAGCCGTGCGGTCACAGACTTCCTCACCAGTCCTAAGTCCCATTCTAACGAACAAACAAACATTCTACTCCCTTGAAGCTACGTTTGGGTG